GACCGACAGTAACACCGAAGTGGTTCATGACCTCGACGATGAGAGGATGGAAAGGAAGGTGCAGCCCGGCAACAAGCTGCTCCCGAAATATCATGATCTCGTCCGGACCGTGCTCCCAAGGAAAGTCGCCCGAGGGTATAATATAAGTGTACCCCCCGGGCAGGTTGTACTGGGCGATAAGGGACCAAAGCCTCTCAGGCGTCATAGTGGAAGGTCCGAACTTATCTGGCACCCGACCTCGATGGGAGGTGGATGCCAAGCTACCCGAGGTGACTCGGCCTATGGGCTCAAACTCGAGCTCTTCCTCGAGCTTTACCTCGGGCCCCGCCTCGGATTCACTAAGGCTGTCAGGGGCAGTAGCTCGGTTCGTAGAACCAGCATCTGACCCTCCCAGAGGACTATCTAAACTACCCGAGCTAGACATCGAAACAAAGAGAAGGCTGAGGACTCACCGGGAAAAGTAACCAGACTACGAAAAGTTACGCGATCTGACAGCCTGGGACGCGAGCTCAAGGAACGAATGCTGAAGAATGGCGAAGGAAAGTGACCAGGGGCCCCCCACTATTTATAGCCACTGTACTCGTGCATCAACGGCCAAGATCAAAACCATCCAACGGCTCCCCGCGAAACCGGCTACGCACCCCCCGAGGAGAAGTCAGTTTGGCACGCATTTTTTACGTTCAAAAATTTTAAATCGTTTGGCATACGCGCGTGAGCTGCACGCAACCCGGGATTGACCCCTGGTCGAACCAAGCCGACCTTGATTGGGCCAAGAACACAAGTAGGTCAGACCGGAGAAGTTCTAAACCAAGGCCAAAGCGTCACTAGGCAAATCCACCCGTCATCCCGTGAACTCCCCACGCCGAGTGAGGACCCCAGGCACAGGGAGTGGCGGGCAATTGATGGAGGGAGATTTGGCCCGACCCCTTGGCTACGCAACACGTGAAAGCAACCAGGGTGACCTGGCAGAAGTGCTAGATCAGCACGACAGCGGGCCCACAACCCGAGCTCCGAGAAAAGGAGTCCCAAGCTCCCCCAAAAAAGGAACCCACAACCCGAGCTCCCCAAGGAGGACCCGAGCTCTCCCTTCGAGGTCCTGAGCCTTACAAGGAGCACAAAAGGCAAAAACCCGAGCTGACGCAGGGGCAGTTCGGGCCACACTTCTATCCGAACTCAAGACTTCACCTCGCACACCACTTCGGCTCCAAGTCGCCTGACTGAACAACCGTACCTGACGCCCAGGAAGCCCGTACACAGAGGTGGCGCACCTGACTGATTAGGGGTCTGACACATGACAGCCGTCCTCCAACGGCCACCTGCCACCACCATCTCAAACGTGGCAGTGACGACCCTGACAAGGAAGACAGTGGCGGTTATGACACCCAAACTGGCAATTGGCAGCGGTTATGACACCCGAACTGGCAACTGGTAGAGGTTATGACACCCGAACTGGCAACTGACAGAGGTTTTGACACCCGAAGTGGCGTCTGGCAGGGATGATGACACCCGATCTGGCAGAGGTATGGGAGTGAGTGTATAGGGTGATTATAAATCGCCCCATCTCCCAAAGAAGGAGGTATTTGTGATTCTTGCGCTTTCTAGTCTTGAAGTTCTTCATTTCCCTTGCCTTCTCAAGAGCACTAACTTGACCTTCAGAGTGTTCCAATCGGGTTCCTCCCCGGAAATCTCCGTTTTCTTCCTTGTTTCAGGCACCTCCAATTCCATCAGAGGCGAGGTAACCGGCAGCTAGGATCGACTGGATCGTGCACCATCACCACATCTCCACCCCACAACATCCCGCCCCACAATGCCCCACAGCACACCCCTGAAGGGGATGTGAGATCCATCGTATGGACGCCCAAATCTTGCGGAATAAGGGGGTGAATTTCAAAAATTTTTCTCTCCCTTCAACTGGGAATCGCATTCCCTGTTTAGAAAATCATATTTTCAAGGATCAATCTTTTACCATAAACTGAACCAGATCTGAACCAAAAGGAGTAGGAGATGATTATACCTGATACGGAGAAATAATATCTCCCAACGAAGGTGTTCACGCCCAAGGAAGGATCCAAAGACTGCTCCCACTGAAGATGGC